GGCGAATTGTAAAACATGAATGACACAATATCCCAGGGTTTATAACTTAAATGGCTAATCAGGAATTTGAACTAAATTACTATGTTACAAAGGCTATTGTTTATTGGTGTGATCCAGAGATTATAATTAAATGGCTAATCAGGGAGTCGGACTGATATCATGTTATAGAGGCCTATTGTTCACTGTTGCATTATCTGTTGCTAATTAAATATTTCTTTCTATGAGGACAAGTTGACACTAACTCATTCTTGCTATTGAGGGGGCTGGATGACATATAATTAAATACTTTTCATATAAACAAAGATTGCAGCGTTTAGTCGTGTTTGAATATGGTTTACAGCGTTTCATAATTCTCCACTTAACAGTCAATTCTACGTTAGATTCCTTAAGGGACCAGATATATTTACCTAATTGCAGGAACTTTTTCCCAACGTTGGTGGCTAGAATGTTTCCCACGAGATCACAAACTTTATAAAATATTTAACAAAAACACTTTAAAACTAAGCTACAGCTGTATGCCCAATGTAAAAAGTGTAATTAACAATCACAATAAAATAGTACTGTCAAATGAAAGAAACAAAGCTGTGGACACTAGCACAAATGCGTGTAACTGCCGTATAAAAAGCGAATGCCCACTACCCGGCAAGTGTTTAACCGAAGGCATAGTGTACCAAGCAACTGTAACAAGAGAGGACAGTAATAAGCACGAGACATACATAGGCTTAACTCAAAATCAGTTCAAAACTAGATTTAGAAATCATATTTATTCATTTCGAAATGTAAATTAGAGAAACAGTACAGAGCTATAGTAAATTAATTTGATCTTTTCATTTATAAGGGTTATATTAGTTAGTAATGCAGAAAATGGTGTGTTTTTGTTGTTTGTTGTAATTTTGTTGTTAAACAATTTCCAGGCCTACTACAGGCCTGGCCCACCCTAGCAGATAATCAAAAAATGGTGCATTTTTGTTGTTTGTTGTAATTTTGTTGTTAAACAATTTCCAGGCCTACACAGGCCTGGCCCACCCTAGCAGATAATCAGAGACAAATCAAACCAATACTCCCGTTTTGGCGGGGAGACTCCTCTTTTGGTGACCTGACTCCTGGCCAATTTATTTCTCATGTTTTCTCACATGCTCTCCTGGTTTACAAAGGAAATTGCATAGGTGTACTAATCTTAATTGTATTGTCTTATTTGCAATAAAACTCAATACAGGTATTAGGTTATCTTTCAATATTTGGCTCTGTGACAGAAAAGCCTCTCTGTGAGGGGTATGAGAGATATGGATGCAAAGTCATGCTGGCCTTGTAATATGACACTGGATCATAATTACAAGGTGTCTGGTCGGTAAAGACTATAAGCATAAGAATCATGAGATTTATCCTTACGATACATTAACACCTGTATTCTTAAAACAAACTTTAGTCGAAATTTGAACTAGAAAACTTCACTTCAACTTAAATTTGTATTTATAAACAACATAGTTGAAGTTCTAACTAGACGACTAAATCCTAGTCCTAGTTTTAGTTCAGCTGAAGACGGCTGGCAACCAACGACTACCAAACTAACCAATGAAAAAAGCAAATTTTAATAGCAGACGAAATTTTAAAGATCCGGTTACGTAGATGAATATTGAGCTGCCGTCTGTTGCTCAAAAACATATTTCTTCGAAATTCATAATAGACCATCATTCGCTTAATCAATTTTCTATAAAAATAACTATATTAATCGTTAACATAGCGAAAATATAGTCACTGAAAATTAGTTTTCTTTGGAGAATTATTATAGTTAAGCCCGAACAAGGGTGGCGCCATCTTTGTTGTTGCTACAGTGAAGCTACGTGACCGCTAAGTGAGGGGATTCCGTGCAAATCAGGAACTATTGTATGTGCCCAGCAAAAGAGGTTAATTTCAAGTTTTGAAAGCTACTAAACTTAATGTCTTTTTTCCTGAATAAACCGAAGATACATCAAACTTACTTATACAATCGTTTTTATTCTTTTCAGTCTAGCGCGAGTTACAAAAACATGTTTTTAGTGGGGTCAATATTTCAAGTCAGCGATTTAGTCTGACCCTAGGTTGACTAAAAAAACCGGCCTGCTGAGGTATCATTTTAGTCGAGGTTCGCGTCAATCAAAGTTCGTTTTGAGAATACGAAATGACGTAATTTATAAGTTTTAGCTCGAACTATGACTAAAGTTCGTTTTAAGAATACTGGGGATAGTGTTTACTGCACTCCCGAGGGGCAGTAGACACAAAATAATGGGCAAAGTACATTGAACTCAAATGAGCTAGCTACCCCTTAAAATATTTAAATAAAAAAAATCATACGTATTGACATATATAAATTATAAATGGAAATATACATATTAGGCCTACAGTATTAAACAAAAAAAAAAAAAAAAATAAAAAAAATAAATAAAACAAAACAAAACAAAATCATTGCAATGAATATTTAAGTGCACAAATGAGTACTGTATTACTACTAAGAATTCAACCCTGCAGTGGTCCAGGGTAGCTTTTATTTTGTGGTCATGAAGGGTAGAATATTACCGCCCACTACACGCTACACTATAAACAAGGAAGCAGTACAAGGAAGTTATACTACCATAGCTCCAGCAGGGCCTGGTAACAACCTCAATAGGTTGAACCATGGTTGAATCAATCAGAAAAGTGGGTTAAAGAGTCAGCAAAGAGTAATGTTGTATTATCACCCACTATATTTACTTTGAGGAAGAATAAAATACCCTATGAAGTAACTAAAAAATAAATTTCTATGGTAAGTGAATCTATACAGTATTTCAAATCTTATTGTATTGCCTCCCATTATATTTTGTAGGAGCGGTTGGCGCACCGATTGTGGCTTGGACTCCCAACCTTGAGGTTGGGGGTTCAAAACTCTGGCTGTGCAAATCGCTTGTGTCCTTGGGCAAGGCACTTTATCTATGGTTGCCTCTCTCCACCCAGGAGTACAAGTGGGTACCTGGTAGGTTCCAACACAACCTGCGCTGATTACTAGCTGCAATTTATGAAATGATAATATAATTTCATTTACTTATTTAATTTGGTGTTTCAATGTGTTCCATATGTTTGATCCAATGACCGGGGTAGCAATGTGAAGCGCTTAGAGGCCTTGTAAAGGCATGAAGCGCTATATAAGAACGACATATTATTATTATTATTATATAGTACTTCGATGATTTTAAGAATAACATGCATGAGGATGTAACTGAGCCATTCTAAACTGTAACTGAACACTTTATATTTCCAGTTGGTGTGACAGGGGAGGACATAAACAAAGGAATGTTTCACAATGTAATACCCATATAAAGTCCATAATGCCTCACTCATATAAAATGCATTTTCCTATATTTAGATATGAAAATATATAAGAAAATAAGAAAAACAAATACTATCCTGGCATGATATTAGATTTAGATTATGAATAAATCTTTAGGGTCATAATTTTAACATCTTCTTGATTTTGCATCATGTCACTAAGGTAATTATGAGATCTTTTACAATATAATTTTAAATTTTTAACACTGCTGCTACAGTTGCAAGAAATATATTCAACATATTCATTTTGTAAGTATTTTTATTTGTTTTTGTTCTTACAAAAATTAATTTATATTATGTATTAATAAAAAATTTCTGTTGTAATTTATAAATTATAATTGTACAGTAATTTTTCCAACCAAAATGTCTTTTTAATATTTGTTTAACAAACAAATTAGGCCTACAACTGCTGCAGTTGTAAGAAACATATTTAATTTATATTACATTTCACATTAAATTTATTTATATTCCATAAGTTATGCAAAAATAATAATATAAAAAAATATTAATAAATAATTCTAACATTTCATAATTTAAATTAAAAATATGTGCAATCAGAATTTTAGTGCTATTCTATAATTATATATTCTTATTTTTATTTGTTTTTACATTAAATTAACTTATATCATGCAATAATACACATTTTCTGTTGTAATTCATAAATTATAATTGTACAGTAATTTTTCCAACATTAATGTCTTTAATATTGAACCCATCTTTCCTTTTGTTTATACTGTATGTTGTACTGATGATTTGTTGTGTACAAAAGGCAAATTTCTGAGATGTATTTATGTTGGAAAAAATGGTATGAAAGAAGTGCATTCATGGGTGTTTAATATGAACTATTTTCTTTGATTCAGAAGTTGCAGCCCAATGGCATTTTTTGGAGAGAGAGACAAGATGCATAATATAGTTTACATCTTGATTGTTTTGATTTCCTGTACATCTGCTGATGTTGCATTTGTTACGAAGCCACCTGAAGAGGTGAGGACATTCCCAGGACAGCAGGTTACATTGCCCTGTGTATTGGAAAACTTACCTGAAAACCAAAGAGTTCGATGGTTTCAGGTTGAAAATATTCAGTTCATCTTTATTTCGAACAACAGGGATGTCTTCACAGATACTATTGAAAATGTAGCTGAAAATGTTTCAATTACTGGCAATGGAATGAACTTTACTCTCCTTTTCAATATACCAGATAAAATAAATTTCGGATCTGATCACAATGTTAACAAATTATATGAGTGTTCTGTAGTTAAATCAGATGGATATTCAACTGATATTTCTGCAAAATCAAAAGTCATTATAGAGAGAAATCTAAATCCAATTTGTGGAAAACTTAAGACTTTTCACTATGTCATTGGAGAAACATTAACATTAGCCTGTTTTCATGATTCAGATCCTACTATCATTACAACTTTGAAATCAGGAAATGGAAAAGTTTTGCCTACCAAATTGAATGGTTCCTACATTATTCACAATTTAAAGGTAACTAAAAACGACCATGGAGCAAAATTTAAATTTGAATCAAGAAGAAATGGAACAAATGAGATCAAAAGCTGCTCAATAGGCCCAATCACTGTCAACTACAAACCTGAGATTAACATCACACAAACATCAGCAACGGAATTCAACTGTATAGCAGAGGCTAGGCCTCCTGTGAATGAAATACAATGGATTGTGGAGTCTAGTATTCCACAGGACAGTTTCATGATTTCAAACAATGTTTTAAAATTTATTGAGCCATTGCAAGTTGATTCTGAGATTAAAATAACATGCGAGGTGGAAAATATAATTGGAAAGGGAACCAAGACTTTGAGCATTCCAACTGTGAATAATCGGGAAGAAAAGGATGGAAGTGGCAACATTCCAACTGTGAATAGTAGGGATGAAGAGGATGGAAGTAGCATCATTCCAGTTGTGAATAACAGGAATGAAGAAGATGGATCTGACAGCACTTTAGTGATTATTGTAGTAAGTTGTGTTGTGGTTGCATTTTTAATAATCCTTTTGTTCTTGATAAGAAAGCGAATTAAACATCAACAGACATCAAAAAGCAGGAATACGTCTGCTAGATTTAGGAGAGCTGATCCTCAGGTTGAACTAAAAAATGAAGATCCAAAAGGACTTGTTTATGATTATGCTGCAATCGATGTCAATGAATTCCGTGCTGGTTATCAGGAAACAGAAAATGAAATATATGTTGGAGGTGATATGTTAAACAGTGATGAGGCTAATGTAGCTAGTAAGAAACAATCAAATACAAAATTTAAGGATTTGGATCAAATTAGAGCTCAACCTAACAAAGATTGCGAAGAACTGAAAAATGAACAACAGGTTTATTCTCAAGTGAATAAACCTGATTATAAAGAGTGTGTAAATGAAATCTATCAGGGTCTGAATAATTAGAATAATGGTCACCAATGGTCACATGATAGGGTCCTGAAAATAAGGTGACTCTTCACATACACTTCACTACTATTTTATATCATTACGCAATGTTACATTGTCCTTGTTTTTTTAAGATGATCAATCAAGAAGAGCCACTTGATAATACAATGGAGGAAGAAAATAAATTAATTTTCTTCCTCCATGATAATACTTTCACTTTAAATTAATTATCCACAATATAAGGCCTAAAAAAAATTGTTTGTTTGCCCTCCAAGATACCCTCTTAATTTCACAAAAGAGTGGGTTCTTTTCCAAACAAATACATCCTGCCTAATATTGTGTGTTTAGATTAGATCTTTTGCTTTAACTTTGGAAATTGAGATCATTTTATATACTATTTCTGTATAAACTAATTTTTTTTTTCATATTACTGTAAACCTAATGGGTTTTGATAAATTTACTCTGCACTACGGAATTTCCAATAAAAAGAAAGAAAATTAATTAAAAAGACCATAGATTAAAAATAAGTAAGGCGTAACATATGTTCGTCGTTCAAAACTGGTGCCGAATCAATGTTTTAGAGCCTCCCATCAGAGCCATTAATAATAATAATAATATTAATAATTGACCGCAAATATAGTAATAATATCTAATAATATTAATAATTTTAAAAAATACTTAGACCTACTCCCAGAGCTACTAAAAACTAATTTATTTTAGTTCCCAAATATGTATATTCTTTATGTTGATTTATTAATTAAATTTTCACTACAGGGTATTTTACAGCATTTATTTATTTACTTATTATTAATTTTTTTTTCTTGAATTTTATAACTGAGGGCCATTTTTTATTTCTTGATTCAATTCTTGCTTATACAGTATTTAAACATTTGAAGATTAAAAAAAAATATATATCATTTCTATTACTGAATTTTTCATTGGGGCTATTTTTACCTACCTGTCTTATGGGGCCATTTTTTCGGGGGCCATTTTTTCCGGGGCAATTTTTTCTGGGGCCATTTTTTCCGGGGCCATTCTTACCTACATTCCTAATTTACAATCAAACAGGACTAGGCAGGTAGATAGGAAGCACACATAAACCATTATTTCAAAAACATAAAGGTGATTTACTTATCATCATAATGTCATCAGAAAGATTGACTGAACGTGACAAAGGAGTTTGTAAAATTGTGGTACCACTACTTAAATAAGTCGAAATAGATAGACCTAATCTAACCAAGTATCCATGTCATCGTTGTTCCATGACGCAGGAAAGAATGTCTAGTTTAGCCCTCATTCATATAGGCCTACACTACGAGAAGAAGGTTGATGTAGAGGAAGTGGTACATGCATTCTGAAAAGCAACCCAGACGAATACATTTCGGGATGAAAAAAATTAGCAAAAGTATTTTGAAAAGTGTACAGGAAGCTGTGCTTATATACTACATACAGTATATTGTCCTAAAGGAATCTGACTAGAAGAAAGACACTGAAATTCCTTTTATTGTTCAATTAATCAACTCTCAATAAGGTGCCTTTTTTCACTATTTAATGTGATTAATCAAAATAATAAAAAAAAGTTTAAACTTTTAGTACAAAATAATAATTGTTATAAATATTTTTAAATGTCAATTATAATAAATTCATATTTACAAAAACATAATATATAACATTTATAATCAACTAATCATATTCTAATTTTTATACATGTATTTTTCGATATTTTATCGCATTACTGTATTTTTATCGCATTACTGTAAGCCAATTTTATATGTTTTTACCTATTGGTTAAGGCAGGGGCACCGTGATCATAGCCAACAATATCGGCATCGGCTCGCTCCTATGGTTCTGGTGGTGGAACAAGTCTTCTCGGATAAGGACTATAAACCGTAGGCCCAGTGTACACAAATGCTCATGTGCACTTTAAAGAACCCAGTACATCCTTCGAGATGAGTAGGGGGTTACCCCGGTGTACTGGTTCACCCGGCCCCTGTCGTGGACTGTTATATGTGAACTGGGCCCTCTGGGAGAACAGTAATTTGTTACTGAAGAGGAAACCCAGTATAAAGAACAAATAAATAAAATAAATAAAAATAAAATTTTGTAAATTTACTCATTTTCCTTTTTGTGATGTATTGTTAATATTTTTAAATGTAATTCAATATTTGTGTTTGTTTTTTGATATTGCTCATTTCTCATTTTTTAATCTTGTAATACAATAATTTCAGACTTGTTCTGCTTTTTGTAATGTTTTCCATACCTGAATAAAATAAAATAAAATAAAAAATGATTGTGTGACAGAGCAGGTATAGATGGCATATCCTCAGTGGCGTTGCAGTCTCAGATAAGGACTGGGATTAGGTATAAATTTGCCTATATTATTAGAATCACAAAAGCTGTTCTAATGGTAGGCCAATTCATGCGATTTTCTGCACTTTATTAAATGACACTTTCAACTGCTCATACTGTAGGTATCAGTGCCTATAATGTTTTTCACCAAGGAACGTACTCAGTCTGTCAATTCGGCAGCAATTTCTATTTTATTAAAAAAAATTGTATTGACATTTTAACCACATCTTGCTGTTATTTCATTGGGAAATGGTCCAAAAAATTATGATCACGACCCACCCAGAAAAATTTCTGGATGCACCCCTGAGACCTGTCCTAGTACAGAAGTAACAGTAAGTTATCAATTTATTTATTTATTAATATTCCACTTGCTTTATACTAAATGGCACTCTCAATGCAAAGGTATTGGTTTTCATTGTGGTCCAGTTAAAAAAAATACAAAAGTGATAAATTGAAAAAGAAAAAGAATGGTATTAACAAAAAGGAATTAATTACAAAATAAAGGAGAGATCAATGAATTAAGTGAGAGCATTTAAAAAAATATATTGCATAAATCTCTGGAAATCCCTAGTTTATTAAGCTGAATTGCCAACACAGAAAGTAAAAGCTGGTATACTTGTACAGTTAATTCAAGTGAACTGACAACACAGAAAGCATGGACAAAACAAAACATGTGAAGGTAGTAGTACACATGCTGGGAGAGCCTATTTTTGTTATTGTTTTGATATATCATTGTTTTTTTCTTGTTTTGATTTGATTATTATAATCACTACTATTGTTGTTACTGATGTCATTTGGTCATTGCCACCAAAACTGTCATCATTGAAGTTTTAACACTTGTCTTATGTGCCAAAACATGTATAAACAAACTTTCTTGCAAGCTTTATCAAGTCACATATCATCAAAATCGACGTTCCGCAAACTATGGTCCAGGGCCCAAATTTGGGCCCCGAAACATTTTTTGAGGGCTGTGAAAAGCCATCTGGAAATTGAAAAAAAAAAAATATAACAAAGAGACGTTTTATCATGGAGAAAATAGTTTTTAATAAAGCCGCTTCATTGTTACAGCGAATGCGTCGCTTGCACACGCTGCTAAAGTGCCAGATGATGCGTGCTATTTGGGTTATAAGCGGGTTTTGTGTCTATACCCCGATCGTCTTGTATTAACACTGTAAGATCGAGTAAATCCGGTATGGAGGAATGATGGGATGAGTCATGAGCTAAAGATAAAAATATATATAAGACCTGTCCTAGAAAGATCACTACAGTATAATACAACACCACACATTTCTTGCACATTTCTTGATAACCGAATGCCCATGTGAACATGGGAATTCTGTATAGTAAGGAGTCTTTCAAAGTTGCGGAGTAACAGAGTGTGCATAAAAGATTTTGGAAGGAGAAAGCTATGACCTGTGTGGCTGAACTGTCTTTGGTTGAATCATGGTAGAAAAAATAACAATTTGGTTGAATCATGGTAGAAAAAATAACAATTAACAATATTGTGGGGGGGGGGGTAAACACAAATGTATGGTATTATTTATTTAATAACATAATATTTAATTTGTATACAATGAAATTTTATCATTGAGAGAACAGATAATGATGTCAAAATATTGTATATACATGGAGGCTTCATGATCAAAAGTTCTTGCCAGGATTTTGTATGTTGGTCCCTGGTGCGGCTGGGCTGCTGGGCCGCGGCTTGGTGCCTGGTATCGTAAATAGGCCATGAAGTAAAAAGATTGCGGAACGTTGATCAAAATGGTGTGAATCTAATAAATTGGTAGGAAAATATTAGGGGAAGTGTCAACAATGAGACAGTTACTTTTTACTGCCTATGCAGACTTCTCAAGTCAGTAAAATGAATTTCAGTAACCATGTCTTCAAATAGCCATAGAAAATACACTCTTACTGTAGCACCTAATAATTTGACTTGAGTGCAAAATATGGGTTGCTTGAATTACAGGTACATGATAATAACAGATTTCAAGGAAATGGGATATGATGAAGACATAAGGCCACTTTTTTCTTTGTTTTCACAACAATATAGCAATTTGACAAGCTTAAGTTTTCTAGGAACAATGTCACCAATGAACCTGATAGAAAAGTCATTGTTGTAGACTTATAAACCTATTTATTTATGGGTCTAGGTCTATGACAAATTTCCGTAGTATTTTTGTTTATTTCCGTACATCCGTAATAGGCAAAATTTCCATAGCAACCATGGATGTTCTGTAGTACTTGGGAAGTCTGCCTATGCCAAGTACGAGTTTTCTCATCCACTTTTTCCATGGGTTGATATATGTTTTCTCATCCACTTTTTCCATGGGTTGATATATGTTTTCTCATCCACTTTTTTCATGGGTTGATATATGTTTTCTCATCCACTTTTTCCATGGGTTGATATATGTTTGGATGATAACCCTGCACGCAATCCTTTGTACAGCCGGCAACTTAACACAACAAACATACATGCTATTTGCATGTTATCATTTAGGTGCATCTTCCCCCGAACTACCAGCCGTTAAGTCTATATTCATACAATGTATAACAATGAAGTAATAAAGGCTAGCATGTTAACCCGATTTTGACAAGAATAGTCATCCTTAGAACCCTCACCATCATCGCTGGACATAAACGTGTTAAAATGTAAATTGTATAGAAAAATACAAATTAAGCCTACTGTATTAAAAATTACATAATATTTCCAATAAAGATAAATTAGAAAAATAAACATACCAAAAAAAAAACCCATCGTAATGAATATTAAGTACATAAATGAGCCAATGCATACACTGTACTAATTACTATTATAAGTCAATCGTGACGTCATCACTGCAACTCCCAATGTTATTTGCCTATCCCCCACAGTCCAATCATTTTTTAATTAGTGGACGCTTGGCTTCCACT